TAGTCGAGCTCCCAGCCTCAGGATGTCCTTCTCTATTTGCTGAATACGAGACACACGAGTCTGAAAAAAAAAAAAACAAATCTCATCAGGTAAATCTGAGGTGAACATCCTTACAGTAGCAGGTAAGGTACAGGTGCACACAGCCTACCTGAGCCCTCCTCTCCATCTCCTGACAGGAGCCCAGCTGCTCCTCCATGGCAGATCGGATCTGACGAGCCTCGTACTCCAGCTGACGGCGACTCATGTCTGTCTGCAGAGTGAACTGAGACCAACAGACCATCAGAGACCACAGCTCCCAGCATGCACTGCAGCTCATAACACACTTATAGGAAACATGATTAGTCTGTCCCACACCTGTGCAGGTGCCCCTGAAAACACATTCTTACTTTTTCTGTGAGCGGCAGACTGTCGATCCTCTTGGTGAGATTCTGCAGCTGAGCATAATACCAGTCTTTCTCCTTCTCCTCCTTCTCCAGCTCAGCCAATAGAAGAGATCTGTGAGAAACCAGCAGCCAATCACAGCGCAGCATGACTTACCTGAGTGACACATCAGTGAGCTGTTCACACCTGACTTTAGCTAAACTAACCTCCAATTCAGAGGACAGCTGTAGTACTGTCACCGGTACTATTACTACAGCTGTGGTACTGTCACTGGTACTATTAATACAGCTGTAGTACTGTCACTGGTACTATTACTACAGCTGTGGTACTGTCACTGGTACTATTACTACAGCTGCAGTACTGTCACTGGTACTATTACTACAGCTGTAGTACTGTCACTGGTACTATTACTACAGCTGCAGTACTGTCACTGGTACTATTACTACAGCTGCCATACTATCAGTAGTACAATTACCACAGCTGCAGTACTATCAATAGTACTACTACCACAGCTGCCGTACTATCAGTAGTACTAGTACCACAGCTGCAGTACTATCAGTCACTACCTGGGAAAGGGGGCGGGATCATGGGTAAAAAAGGTAAAAAAGTACTTCTGTCTGGTATTAGTACCTCTCATTCTCCAGCTCGTCCAGGCAGCGGTCGTGGCTGTCTCTGCCCGCAGATGGCAGCCCTTTCCTGGGGAAGGCAGCAGCTGAGGAGGGGCCTGGAGCTCCAGAGACTGCAGCTGCTCCTGCAGGAGCTCCAGAGGAAGATGAGGCTGAGCTGGAGGAGGACACAGGAGGTGGAGGAAGTCTGGTCCTGGGCTTGAAGCTGGCTGAATCCAGGCTGATTCCTGCAGGACACAACACAGTGAGTGTGCAGTGAGGACAACAACACCTGCAGGGAGTGTGTTGTCACTTTGTTCACCTTTCAGTCTTTCTATAAGGTCCAGCTGCGAGCCGGACGCCTCTCCTGACTCTTCTTCTATGGTGCCCTGCAGCTGCTTTAGCACTTCCTGTGTGAGACAAACAGGTGGTACGACGTTAGCTCACTGTGGGATTTAAAATGACATCATACAGACGAGCAGGAAACCACACAAGCAGGGGTCAATCATAGTTCTGACTCACCACAATCAATCTGCAACATTTATACACAACAAGATGGAAACACACACACACACACACAAAACAGGAAATAGAAAACAAAAGAGTCTGTGTTTGAATGAGAAGAGACAAAAACAAATCAATGAGAAAAGACAAAACTACAACTGAACACGATTTGCACTAACTACTACTAAGAACTACACAAAAGTACATAAAATGAACTACACAACAAACACTGACATAGTCGAACTACACAACAAACAGCAAGTAAAAAAACAACAGCAACAACACAAAGGCTGACTAAAAACAGAGAACATTTGACCTGAGATTGGAA